TAAAGGATGGCGAACAAAATGCACTATCCAGATTTTCTATCAACTGATTTTTGTTTTTTTTTATCAACGGTATAGTGAAGTTGCAATTGACTCATATATAACAAAACTTTAACAATGTCTCAAGGTTCTTGCATTTATTCACCGCGTGAGGTTCAGCATGCATGGCGCAATCCAAATAAAACGAACAGAAAACTGGCTCGTCTTCAATTCACTTTCACACCAGGTGGTATTGAAGGCTATTTCCAACAAGCTTCCAGAGTGGTCAGACATATGAATCCCTTCACTGAGTTCTTAGATAAAATTGCTCGAGAGTGGGGTGTCTTGAACTTTGGAGAGCCCAAATGGGATGAAGACAATTGAACATGGGTATTATTTTCAGTATGCTGCTGTCATTTGAAGAACAATGGAGTTATTTATGAGAATAAATAAATGTGAAGTTCTTTGGTTTTTTTATTTCTCTCTCTTCATTCGAATAAATAATCATTCTACTAATATACTAACGAAAATAAAATGCATTCCGATAGGTTCTTGAACAACCAAGGAATATATCCTTATTTCAATTTGGCTTATTCTTTTGTCGAAATTTCGAAGAATCTCGTCAAGTTTCTTATGAGAATCCTATCTCAGTTACTTGTGATTTCCGCTTGCAGAATTTAAAATGTTACACACAATACTTTTCCAAACCTTCGTCAGTAGCTTGTTAGGAATTTTTTTTCTATGATAATCAGCATCCTATCAGAATTTTCTGTCGATTCTTTGCAGAAGCTTGACAAGAGGAACAAATAGGGTGTCGTCATCCTATCATCAAATATATGTGAAGATCGAAACCAAACATTGGCATTTAGATGCTGACAGGATTAATGGCTAGCAGAGATGGGCAAGTCAGAGGTTTTTAAGGTTCAAGTCAAAGCAAGTCAAGTCATTAATAGCCAAAAAAAACTATTCAATTTATTCCAGTTAAGTCACAACGCTTTCCAAGACAAGACAAGCTAAGTCAAGTAACGGTCGTTCTCAAATCAAGTCGAGTCAAGTCAAGATTTCAAAAGAAAAACCCTCAAGTCAAGTTAAGTCAAGTGAAGAACTTAGAAAACATTTCTTAAGTCAAAAAATGACTTAACTTGCCCATCTCTGATGGCTAGCCTTTGTAATGATCTAACTAAAATATAGGATCATTTAGAATTCTAAGCTGATCGATTATTTCAAGATTCTATTTGGATCTTATTGATAACTCGTTTTAGATAAGCGTTTAGAAACCTTGCCAGACGATGCCAATCCTAACAAAGATTTTGATAAGAAAACTTAAGAAGTCAGTTAGGATTTTCCAAATCTACCATCTACTCTATTCAGTCCTTACCATTTCTCAAGAAAGTTTTGATGAATTTTTCAAGATAATAATCCAAAAGATTCTGCTAAATTTGATTCAGAACCTCTGTCAGGATTCTTCAATTTTTTGCTGACGTTTTTCTTTTAAATTGAAGATTTAAGATCATACCAAGATACAATCTTAATTCTACTTTAAATTCTGATTAGAATAATTAAATAGACTCGATCGAGATTTCCTCAAAGTTTGGTTAACATCTGTTCTAGATCCTGATACGAAGTTCCTGTCAAAACCTACAGTTTAATTGAAGGCGAATCTTGATAACAATAACACTAGTTTGGTCAGAATGCGAAACCATTCAGTTCTAGAAAGCATTTTATCGACAACAAAAGTTTTGCCCGCATATAAATGAAATTTTTTTTTTTTATTTCAAGTAATAAAACTATAGTACAATATGTATATTGAGAGAGAAAAAAGAGACATTTAATATGCCCAAAGTTTCTTGTTAGTTGCTTGCTTCTTCTTTGAGTAAAGTAGAAATGTGTGAAATACACCCTTGGATGACTTTTTGTGAAATGAGATGGCATGCTTGATCGACGACGGCTTCCAACTCCGCTTGACTTTTTGGCTGTGCTGTTTTAACTGTTTCTTTGAGTAAGTGCCAAACATATTCAATTGCATTGAATTCAGGTGAATGTGCTGGCCAATCTAATAATTTAAGGCCATTATCATCAAACCACTGACGAACTGATACCGTCCAATGTGATCTTAATTTATCTTGAGCGGCAGCATATCGACGACATTTATGAACATGTGGACCGAGATGAGAAGCTAACAACTGTTGATATATGGTTTGATTGATATAGCCCTCATATCTTGAGAATGTTTTTGCACTTCACCAAACCGCACCTCATAAGTTGACACAAGCACGAAAAGAAGATATTTCATGTGGGAGCGTTGGTTCCCCACGTTTTACCCAAACGATCTTACCTGTGCTACGCAGTTGCACTTGTGTCTCATCGATAAAAATCCATTTTTGAGGTCACTATTTTGATGTTCTACTGCAAATAAATGACGTTTCTCGACTTGAATTTGTGTTGGTCTGGCTTTGGTTCGTTGTGTTCGTGGAAAAAAATCCAAGATCTCGACGATATCGTTGTAATGTACGTTCACTGATTCGGATGTTGAACTTGTTATAGATAAAGCTTGAGAGTTGATTAGCAGTTGCAGTTGGATTTTTTGAAATGTACTTGTCGAGTGACCGTTGTTGTCCTTCAGTAAGAGATGTTGGTCGACCAGGTCTTTTTCCTTCATTTAATAATCCTGTTTCATTGAAGTGAGCGACAATACGACTAACTGTTCGACGATCACAATGAAGTTGACGTGCTATTGTACTAAATATCTTGTTTGACTTTTGTGTTTCTTTCACAGCAAATAAACATTTTTTACGTGTCAAATTTCGCATTATTTGATGGTTTTAGTATTTAATCAATCTAAAATAAAAAATTTGAAGAAATGGAAAAGCTAAATATGAATAACGAAGCGTCTGGGAACACCATATGTATTTATAATATTATCCTTTTTCATAGTCTTATAAAACGTAAAATAAACAATTTTGTCAGCGGGCAAATTTTTTGTCGTCGATAGATTAGTCAGAAACCTGTTAGGAATTTTTCCGAGAAAAGTATTTTCGAAAATTTACAAGATAATACAAATCATAACCTAGATCTTAATATCAAATGCTAGAATTTTGTTAGAATCTTTGCAGATTTATTTTTAAAAGCTTATTCAGAATTTGGTTTTCAGAATCTTATCAAGGTTTAGAACAGGTCTGTCCAGAACCCTGACAAAAACCTATGATAATATTCTGTCAAGGTCTCAGCTGATTTCCGTTTAGGATTAGTTTCAGATTTATAAATCGATAGATCACAATAGGATTTCAATGGTCATGTTGAGTAAAAGTCTCAACTATAGTAAATGGTATGGTTTCTCAAGATTTTTCCCTAGATTGAAAGGCTAGGGTCTAGAAACGGAAATTCACCTGTGTCTGCCTGTCTGTCTGTCTGTAACACTTGGTACAAATGACCATTTTTGTGGTACAAAGTACCATAGTGATGGTACAAGTGACCATTTTCGTGGTACAAAGTACCGTAGTTGTGGTACAGCTGACCATTTTCACAGTACAAAAGTACCGCTTTGGAGTACAGGAAACCATTTATTTGACACAATTGGCTATTTTCATTATACAGATGATCGTTTGTATGACTCAATTCAGTATTTTCACAGCACAATCAATCATTTCTATGGCACAGTTGACCATTCTTATGGCTCAAATGATCATATCTGTGTCACAATTGGCCATGTCCGTATTAGAAATGGCCATTACTTTGATATAAATCACCATGTTAGCCGTTATAATTAACTAAAGCATAAACTTTTTCATATACATTAGCATCTTTTAATATTTTTTGTGAACTATTTGAATACATGTATAGTATGTAATATAGAAAATGTTACAAATATTAATAATTTCTACGAAACTCATCATTATACAGAATTCATTTTTATTTAAAAATATAAGGACATCTTTGTCATCATTCCGTCAGTCTAGGGCCAAGTGAATCGACATTCAATGTCGATGGACGTTACTTGTATAATTCTGTTGCTCATATGAGAAAAAGCTAAGAACTGAGAAATCTACTACGATTTGTGTCCTGGCCATGATTTTATGCTGAGTACAAATAAATACAGAATTTTTGAAAAAAGATAACAAAATTTTTATAGATGTTTTCCTTACTCTTAATGCAATTAATCTCAGATTTGGTCCACAAAAAATACTAATTATTGTATTTTATCCTCAAAGAGAATTTGATAAATTACGAAAATGAAGTGTTAATTTCAATTTGATTATTGTGATAGTTTTTCATTAAATAGCTAAGTTTAATATGCAGCATATTCTTCCGTACAAACCGTTCATAATGTCAATAGTGCATTAAAAACAACTTGGAAATATATTTTCCAAGTCGAATCGAGATTAACAAAAACAAATACTGAAAATTTGTCAATCAATGAAAATATTTGAAATGATGTTGCCTTGTTAGCAGTGTGTTCAGAAAAATTGTGCTTACATAAAACTCGAATAGAAGCTTGCACCTATATCAGAGTTAAACATATCAAGTGTTGCACTTACACACTATAGCATGGTGAAATTCAGCCAAATGACCTGGTCCGTTTCAATGGTAGAGGTCTACAGATCAATATTCTATCTGTTCATTTTGTTTCCTGTTCTCTGCAGGAAAATGATGTAATAATCCTATTAAGAAGTCTAATAAGATCTTCAAAAAAGCCTAACAAAGTCTTGTACAATGTAGACAGAAATTTGATTCTCGATTGTGAACCATTTAAAAGATGACAGCCTTCTAATATAAGCACAGTTGGAGAACTGCTTAGCCTGAGCATTTAGATGGATGTAGGTGTAGATGTTCGCTTCATCATCAGCCATTCATCACTCACACACACACCCACACCCCGTCGAAAACTGAAATGGATATTTCGTAAAATTTTCTCGCTGAGAAAATTAAAAAAACCAGCAGCACAATTTCACTTAAATGTTGATTATTTAAAAAAAAAGAACGAAAAACAAGAAAAAGGTTTTGCATAACGATTAATCGACATTAAATAATTGTCCTATTGGACAATCGTACTTTTTTCTGCCACAAATAAAGACAAAATGTTGAGGAGCTCAGATGCTGTAATGAGATAGTAATTGTATCGATTATACAAGGTGTTTATTTGATTTTGTAATTCTGTTGAGCGTTTAGTTTTTGGCTTCCGTGCACCAGAAAACCATTGGAGTATAATATTTTGTATGGTTTTTTCTTTTATTTTCATAAAATTCATCAAGTCTCAAATCATTGGATGACGCCGATAACTACAAGAATTTATTCGATTGTAGATGGTTGTAGGTTTGGGTTTGGGCGTGTGTGCGTTTGTTGTGGAAAAGAGGATCGGCGCACACTCACACTCAGAATGACACCTTTATCTATTATCTTCCAAAAAAGCCGTTCTTCCAATATTTTGCTTTTTATATTTTTAAAGCTTCTTTCGACATTTTCGATTCTCGACATTACTACTTTCGGCATTTTTTACTGTCAGCATTTGTGCTTTCGACATTTTAAGTCTTTATCAAAGTTGAGATTACTTTTCAGCTTGCCATACCTTGTATATTCGAAGAATAGATAATGAGAAAGAGTAAACCCTACCGAACATCTTCAACCTCTTCTCAAAATATTTACTTTTACCTCTACTTCTTCTGCCTTTTTTTACTTCATTTTCTCTGATAAATCTCTTATCATAAATGTTGACTCTCTTTCACGTGGTTGTTATAAGAGAAGTATGATTCAATAAATACATCCACTGTCATCAGATTTTCTGCGAAAAACAACCCTGGTCAATCAGCCGGTTAAAAACGTTGCCATACTTATTTATGAAGCAGTACTGTTCAAGAACTGTGAGAAGAATATTGTTAGTCAATCGAGCCACCCCTCTCAAGTACCATTGCTGATAAAGTACGCATAGAATCTATTAGGGTATGTAAAAGCCATTTTTATTACATCACATCAGTAACCAAGAGTAAGCATGCAACGACATGCTCTTTGTCCAACACGTGAGAGATTGATGTAGCATGAGAAGTTAAATATTTAGCAAAAATGCTGTTAGTGCAATCTCTGAGAGATTAGAATATGAAGCACGATGTAATTATTGTTACTAATCAATCACAAGAAAAAGTTTTATTCTACATACTTTGTAACGCATTTCGCCATTCTTTCCGTTAACATTTAGTTACGTAATAATGCAGTAGCTCATATATTATAAGGAGACATTATTGATATACTTTGGGTGATCATATAGCAACGTTTTTCAGGGTCCTTCACTTCGTGGAGAGAAGGAAAGTATAGCTAAGGCGTCTGCCACGGTCGATGAAAGGAGCATCCGCTTTTTTGCCCGTAAGTTTCAACAGTTCTTATAGATAATGTTTGATGAAACTGGTTATCCGCGACCCTCTTAAATGTAGGAATGAGCCACTCACTGTTTGAATCTTATACTCACTCATCTCGTACCATCGTTTTAGGGAGTAGAATAGAAGTACGAGCGAGAACAACAGATTTTTGTAGCACCCATTTACTGCTTTATTTCTGTTCTTGACCGCTTTATGGTGCTAGGTGTGCCTGACACAGCGTAACGTTGACGCTGAAGGAGAAAAGCTTCCAAGAAAAAAAATATAATGACTATTTAAAGTCGATCGAGAAGAGATTCCGGATGAATTGTTTGTCCGATAGTATTACTGCTAATGCGAAATTCTATAGGCATGAGGAGAGCTATGTTTATGCCTCTCAATGAAGCTCTGTTTGAGGATTTGTGACTAGGTGAACGTTGGCAATTGTGCTGTGGAACACTTATTCTCGTATCTTCTCGTCGCGTTTCCTGTGATAATCATGAACGGGAACGATATTAAAATATATGGGCATTCCCAAAATCATTTTGCTTCATGTATATACTCTACAAGCTTTGCTTTTTCCAAGGAAAAAGGCCGAAATGAATATGATGTTACTATGTTGAAAACAGATTTTGACATTCTTCCAAAGAAGTTTGCATGCCTTATTATATAACAGAAAAATAACAAAATATCTATTGACGAAAATTTAACAAGTTGATTCATTATTCATGAAACCGTAATTCAAGTAATTATCCGAATTGTTGTTGTCTTTGTGATAATTACGTTTAGAAAGACTACCACTCAAATCATCTGATGATATAGCATTATTATGATCTAATTCTCTTGAATATTTTTTGTTTTTTCACGGCACTTTTACCGTGGTAATATTTGTCTCTTTTCCATTGTTCAATTGATGAAGGAAATGATTCTTTTCACTTGAGGTTAGTCGATTTCGACGTAAACATGTAATTGATTTATTTTACTAAAGTATACTTGCGATGATGATATTCTTTTTAATTTAAAGCTATTTCAGTGGTTGCGAAAAGCGACGTTGACTGCAGCTAGTGTCTAGTATTGATAGTTTTTATGAAACCCAAGATATGGAATCGCGATAAAAATGCTGAAAATAGTATAGGAACACGAGTCGAGGAAGTTCGCTTCTGCAGACACTAGGATGACTGTTTTACGAAATCGAAAGTGGTCCCTTCCGTGAACATGGTCTCGGAATTTCTTTTGGGTTATGTCCAAAAAAAGCTTCGTATCAAAACGTTTTTGAAGAATATAGATAGAGGTTTTGTAGTAAGAGTTTCGTAAAAAACCCTTTTCTAAAATTGCAAAAAAAGAGTTCTTCAGACATTGTTCCGTACAAAATCCTTTACACAACCTCCAGAAAAAAGTTCCGTGAATGATAGGTTCTATGAAGCCAACATTTATTGGTCCGTCTGACCTCTTGTAATTCAAGCAACATT